GCTGGAGGTGTCGGTGACCCCGCGGGCGCCGGCTCGGTGTGCGTCAGAACCAACGTGTGCTTTTCTCGCCCGTAGGTCTCGGGGGCATTGCCAACATGCCATCCCTCAGCAGCGTGGCCCCGGTGCCCATGGCATCCATCCCGGTGGTGGGGATGTCCCCCCCGCTGGTGTCCTCTGTCCCCGCCGCCGTCCCTCCCCTGGCTAACGGAGCTCCTGCTGTCATCCAGCCCCTGCCTGCTTTCGCTCACGCCGGTACGCCGCTCTCACTCTCTTCTCCTGCTCCTAACAGCCCCCCTGCATTTCCTGGCCCCCGTGGGACTGGCCTCTCCAGTGCTGCCCGTGGGGAAGGACTGGGCTTTGCTTTAGCCCACTTGGCACACTTGGAGAAGAGCTGAAAGGAGGAATGTGGACATGGCCTCCTGCAGGAGTCCCTCGTGGTGAGAAAATCAAGCAGCACTTGGAGAAATGAACCTGCCAGGAAGCTGTTGCCTGGAAATTGGGCCTCTCCTGTCTCTTTGTACTGCTGTCTGTTAGGGTGACTCAAATACCGAACTACATGTGCCAAAATATCATTTGGTATCAACAGGGTTTCCATACAGCTGTGGAAGTAAAAAGATAAGAGGGAAGTGCCCTTGTGTTTCCCCCCCATCCTGCTGGATTCTGATCTTTATATTGTTAAGAAGTTCCCATCAGAGGCACAGTGCTTGTAGTGGATGTAGGAGTGACAGAACGCCATGGGGGTTGCCTGGCTCACTGTGAACAGCAATAAATCCCTGTTTTCTCTCTTCCCAGCCACTTTGCCAAAGAGTTCTTCCTTCAGCCGCTCGGGGCCGGGAGCTCAGCTCAATGCCAAGCTGCAAAAGGCACAATCCTTCGACGTGGCCAGGTGGGGCTGGGGCACACAGGTTGGGTCCCCAGGGCTGGGAAAACTCCTTCCCTTTCTCAAAGTGACCATCTGAAATCATAGTTCTGGCAGAAATCAGTTCTGCAGAGGTTCAGCATTCCCTGGGGTGCTGTGGCTTTACTGCACCTTTTAATGCTCCAGGAGCAGGGAGTCATGGAAATGAAGTAATTAACTATTAACAGTGATGACATGATCTCCACTTGATTTTTAGAACAGCATTTGCTTCTATAAACAAAACCTGCATCGTGCACAGGCACTCCTGGTACTGGGAAAACAACACAAGTAATACATGATTTAAAATTATCAACTGCAGGGTAATTGCTGAAAGCAAAATATTTCATAGGTCTCATATTTTAAATGCACTCCACATCACTGTTTCTTCTATATTCTTGAAGTTCTGTGTGAAAAATCACTTTAAGGGCTTTTAGATTATTCCAAGGCCTATAAAAACGTCTGGTTGGGCAAAAAGGGTTTTACTGTGGTTTAAAAAAATGGATCTAAAACTTCCTAAGAGGAGTTAAGAGAGGGATTTCCCAAAGTCCTTGTAAATCATCTCTCCCATGGATCTATGGCTCAGGGTTTTTGCAGGAGGAAAATGGATGGCACACAATTAAATGATCTGGTTTTATTTTCATTTCCTTCTGCAGGCTTGTCTGTTGCCCTGCTGTTAGATAAGTGACACTACTCAGTATTGATTTGGAGTATTGACTCCAAATAATTTAAAGTCTTTCAAAACAATTCATTTTCTCTCTGAAACCTAAACTGGCCGGGAACAGAATAGGGATGCTCTGGTATAATTTATGTGTAACACAGAAATTAAAATGTGTGCGACCCCCAAATCCAGCAAAACTGAGGAGAAATTCCTATGGGTAAAAATTAAATATTTGGCCTTTTTTCTTATTTTCATTATTGAAGGGGCAGCTTGGTTTTGCTTTGCTCCCATGAAGGGATATTATTAAAGCTCAAGAGTTTGGAAATCAAAAATAAAAATAGAGATACTGGTTTGTGTCTTGTCATGTGAGAATGGTTTATAAGGTCAGCAAAAGGACAAAGTTTGAATGTGCCTAAAGGCAGAAAAACTCCTCTCCTTGTTTTTCAGAATTAGGATTTCTCAGCCATCAAGCCTGGGAAATTAGAGCTGCAAATCAACTCAGCCTGTTATGGGAATGGATTAGAACTGGGAATATTACATTCCTTACTTGTTCCATTAGGAGAAACTTTACATTCAAGTGTGGCTTTTTCACACTTTTTTTTCTACATTTCCAGGATGTTTTACATTTGTTTGCCTTCAGCAGCTCTGTTTGGCTAAGAGAAACAGTTAAAGATAGAGTAAAATGTTACTCTGCATTTCTTGCTACATGTTCAGGTAAAATCTTGTAGCTCCTCTAAACAATTTAGGTTCCTTCATTCTCTCCCAGTAAAGAAAAAGGAAAACACTTTAAAACAAACAAACAAACAAACAAACAAAAACCATCTTCCAAGAGAGTGAATTGTGAAATGTTTGCAAGCAAGAGGTCAAACTTGTGGTGGTTTCAGGAATAGCAGGGAATATTAGATCATGGAATAATGGAATGGTTTGGGTTGGGAGGGACCTCAGAGCCACCCAGTGCCACCCCTGCCATGACAGGGACACCTCCCCCTGTGCCAGTGTCCAGCCTGGCCCTGGGCACTGCCAGGGGACAGGGACACCTCAGAACCTCCCAAGCCTCACAGCAAAACTGGGGGCAAGAACATTTTCAGGCATCAAACTTGATCTCAGTGCAGCCCTTCAGCCTCTTGTGAGGGGCTGAGCCCCTGGCACAGGGTGCCCAGAGCAGCTGGGGCTGCCTCTGCATCCCTGGCAGTGCCAGGGCCAGGCTGGACACTGGCACAGTGGGAGCTGTCCCTGCCATGGCAGGGCGGGCACTGGGAGGCTGTGAGGTCCCTCCAGCCGTGACCCTGCTGTGGTTTGTGACTCTGTGATTGTTCCATGCCCTTCCTGAGATGAAGTGCCCAAGTGTCCCTTTCTCCCTTTCTCCCTGCAGCTCCCCTGCCGTGGCAGAGTGGGCTGTGCCTCAGTCCTCGCGCCTCAAGTACCGGCAGCTCTTCAACAGCCACGACAAAACCATGAGTGGGCACCTGACAGGTACTGGCACAGCTTCTCTTGTCTCCCTGTTTCCAGCTCCCAGAGCCAATTTCATCCTTCTGAGGGTGTTGTTCACATAGCAAGAGGCTCATCAGTGTTTTTCTCTTTTAATCTCCCGAGTGCTCAATGCTCTTGTTTAGAAGCAAGTACTCATCACAGCTGGGATCACTTTAGCACCATTTATTTTCTGCAAAATTGACCTTGGGAAGTGTTTCTGGAAAAGGGCACAGTGGGTTCTGTGAAAACTTGTGCAGCCATTTCCAGTGCTTGGTTCACCCATGTGGTAATCACATATTCTCTGAACAGAGAGAGACACAGCTCTCTGCCAGGATTTTCCCTTCCTGGCAGAAAGGGAAAATAATAAAAATAAAAAAACAATTCTTATCTCCATTTGCTGCATCTCCATTTCTTATCTACATGTGCTGTTGTTGTGCACATGTAGAATGTGTTATGGAGATTGTTTACCAAAAGGCAGTTCCTTAATTAGACACTGGATAGGGTTTAGGTACATTGACCAATTAGATTAAAGCTGTATCTGACAGTCTGTAAGAGTTATGAGTTTCTTAATAGTACAGTATAATATAGTATAGCTTAATTAAGCAATTGATCAGCCTTCTGCAATCCTAGAGTCAATGGTAATTAATTATTTCCTGTTCAGGGGACCATTGCCATGATACACCCACTGCTGAGAGCAGTTCCAGGGGGAGACTGGAACTGGTCCCCTGGCTTGATTTTGCCAGTTCTGGTGCATGTCTGTGACTTAGAGCTTTCTTGGGTTTTAATCTGAGGGATTTGGTTGCCCAGAGCAGCTGGGGCTGCCCCTGCATCCCTGGCAGTGCCAAGGCCAGGCTGGGCACTGGGGACAGTGGGAGGTGTCCCTGCCATGGCAGGGGTGGGATGGGATGAGCTCTAAGGTGATTCTGTGGGATTCTGTGGCTGTTGTGCAGAACTGAAGTGTTATTTCTTGGTTATTGGGGGAGCCAAGTTTTGCTGCTCACATCTCTTGCTTATTTGTTAATATTTGTTTCCCTTCTAGGTCCCCAAGCAAGAACGATTCTCATGCAGTCCAGTTTACCCCAGGCTCAGCTGGCTACAATATGGTAATTAAATGTTTCCATTTCCATCAAAACACAAACTCTGCTGAAACCTCTGCCCTGGAGCCCGTGGGGTTTTCTCCATTTTCAGTCTCACTGATAAATCACACGTTGCTCCTTGTCCTGTGTAACTTTATGAACAAAACCTGCACTTCCGTGCCTTTCCTAGGAGTATTCCACAAGAGCAGCAGGAGCATTTTTGTGTCCCAAAACATCTTTTGTGTGATGATTTGGAAGTTGTGGTTCAGTGCTGGGTTTTTAGGCAGAGCAGATGTTCAGCATCCTGTGCCTTCCACATCCCCTGACATTCCCCAGGGGAATTTACCTTTGCACAGGTGGCAGAGCAGGGAGCTCAACCCAAGGCACACTTGCTGTGGGGTTTCTGTGCCTTTTCCATGGGTATGGCAGGGCTGATTTCCCAGGGACATGTACAATCATGGATTTTAAAGGCATTTGTCTCAGCTTCCCTTTTGCCTTCCAACTTGTTGTCTGCTGAACTTTATGATGTGTTGGAGATTTTTTCAGAGATGGCCTAGAAGGCAGCTGTGAGGAGCAG